GCGGGAGGGGATGGGCTATCGCTTCTGGTCGCGACAGAGCTGATCGCGACAGACAGAGCGGCGGAGCCACACGTCATGTACCGCCCGCTGAGCACTGCTCAGCTGTTCTATAGCCCCCGCGGACACAGCTCACCCGTTCCACATCTCACCTGTTCTATAGCTCCCACAGACACAGCTCACCTGTTCCACATCTCACCTGTTTCATAGCCCCCACAGACACACGTCACCTGTTCTATAGCCCCACAGACACATCTCATCTGTTCCATAGCCCCCACAGACACATCTCACCTGTTCTATAGCTCCTATAGACACATCTCACCTGTTCCATCGCTCGTTCCATAGCTCCTATAGACACATCTCACCTGTTCTATAGCCCCCACGGACACATCTCACCTGTTCTATAACCCCCACAGACACATCTCACCAGTTCCATGGTCCTCACAGAACCCTCTTTGCCCCTTCCACAGCCCCCAGAGAACATATCCCTTCCAAAGCCCCCCCCAGAACACAGCACCCATGGACACCTTTCATCCAACTCCATCATCCTCACTGAACAGATCTCACTCCTATCACACTCCCCAAACACATCCCATAGCCCCAGAGAACATATCCCTTCCACAGCCCCCTCCAAACATCTCATCCCTTCCATAATCCCCATGGAACTCATCTCACCCCTTCCACAGCCCTCTGAACACGTCTCCTGTTCCAGACTCTCTGACCACATCTCACCCCCTCCACCACCCTCACCGAAACAGATAGGTCAGCACAAGTGTTTTAAAAAAAAAAAAAAAGAAGAAAAAGATTTATTACTTTCAGAGCTTTGTTTTTTTTATACACCTGCCAGGTTGCACAAGACTGAACACAACAACAGTCACCAAATGTACAATAAACATACACAGTTAAATAAGGGATGGGGCCCGAGCAGTCTGAGAGGTGCAACGTCAGGGGCTGTGGGTTGGGACTCTTTGCTTTTTCCTCCAGGAAAGTACAGAATCTGACCCAAAACACCTCCAAAGGACAACACTCCCTCTCCCAGCACCATGTGGACCTTACAGGCAGCAGAGAGGATTCTGGAATTAAGCTCCTGTGGGACATGACTTGAGAGATCTTTGGGTTGCTCTGGCTTCAAAATAATAATAATAACAACAACAAATCCTATACCTTCTGCACTGCAGAAGTGGGGAAAAAAGCCATGCAATCCTTGCTTTTCTTTTTGCCATCTGTGCAGTCACTGTAGCTCCTTACTTTGGAAGGAAAATTCCATTTCCAGGGATGCTTCTTCCACCGTGAGGCATTCATTCAACGTGGGACACTGAGCGTCAGACCGAGGGGCTGAGCGTGCTGCTGTCACTGGGGGACAGAGTAGGAACTGATGAGGGAGATTTGAGTTCAAAAAGCTGTTTTAAAATCACTTCCCATTGTAGCTTTCAGTTTCAAGTGCATGGTCCAGCTGTCCTCACTCTGTGCTCCCTTCCAACAAAGAGCAAAGTGGTTTTAACCACCACATCCACAACTTCATTAATGGGAACAGGTTTGATGTTCTTCTATTGTCAAATTTTTCAGACTTTAAAACTTTTCCTAGAATTCCACCTGGACTACCCCATTTCCAAGTCTGCTATCCTCCTACTACTCAGACCATTTTTTGGCTGACCATTAAATCATCAGCCTGAAGAAAGCCAAGACAACATCTCCCTCTTCTCCCACACCAACATCACAATTCCAAAGGCCTCAGCAACACAACTTCCAGTGTGCTAGTGGGAACAATGGTCACTTGGCCATGCTGCCACAGTCAGTGGGTCTCCAAATCCATGGAATTTAGTCACTCACCACTGCACTTGACCAAATGGGAGCTCTGGACCTCATTAATTACACCCAGCTCATAATGCCTCAGTGTGGTGGAACAGCAAGAAAAGAGGAACCCCAGGTAACAAAGTGATCCATGTTTTGTTAAGTCTCTTCAGAGCTACCTCAGAAGAGTCCTGAGCTGCCCAGTGTTTTCCATCTGATTTCTCTCACCACTGTTCCCACTCCACATTAACAGATATGTTAATTACCAGAGCAATACCTGATACAACACTTTGCCCACAAGGAACCAAACTTCCCCCTGTCCAGCCTGAGTGTGAAGTTCTCTCACGTCTAAGAGCTTTAATTCCATAAAACATGATATCACAACCTGTAGTGTTTGCTCACACGAGTCATCCTCACCTAAATCCATGGGAATTCTTATGGAATTCACACTCAGTGCAGCACAAGAGAAAACCAATCAAAAACCCTCTCTAAGTTCTTCCATCTCAAGAGCCATTAAGACACAACATCCTTCTTTGCTTTTGTGTTGTAAAGAAACGTATCCTGTTATTCACAGACATTTGGGGATGAGTTTTCCAGCAGGGAATGGAGGGTCAGACATACATAGTATATCCCATCAGGAGTCAATGGAGATATAGTCATATCCTTGCAACTACCAGAATGCATCAACCAACCAACCAAGAAGACCTGTGAAGGAGAATTACATAAGGAAAAATATTACACTGCCTTAAAGGATAAAACTTCTCTTTCCC